ATGTTTTTGTTTGTTTGTTTTGTCCGGGTTGTTTTTTGTTTTTTGATTTTTGTTTTCCAAAGAAATTTTTTTGTTTTGTTTTGTTTTGTTCAAGCCTGTTGCATATATAATAAATATGTCTATGTTGTTGTTGTTGGTGTTTCGTTCTTCAACTATGTTACGGTATTTTATTCCGGACTGTTGTTTTCGGCTTAAAACTCATAAAAAAAACCTCATAAATTATTATGGTTGAGAGCGGGAGAGAGAGAGAGCGTAACTATTAATAGTAACAACCACTAACAACAACGAATTACAACATTGAAAACTAAATTGTAAATACCGACCATCATTATCATCATCAATGATCATCATAGATGCGCACGAGTTTTTATTTTCTTTTATCTTTTATTTAATAGTTTCATTCAGATTCGTCAGTACTTCAATCTGTTTATATGGAGTACCCTAATGGTGATATTATTGTTACGTAATAATAATAATAACGACAACAACAAAATTAGTAAAGAAAATTTATGGCCCAATTTAGCCAAATGTGTTTGGCCAAATATCGTTGTCGTCGTTTGTTAATGTAATAAAAAAATGGTAGCATTTTTTTCATGTTTTCGTTGTCGCCGTTGTCGTTTTTTCAATAAAAAAAAACAGCAGCAGCAACAGCGAAAAAATAGATCAGATAAAAAAAATCAGGTAGCCAATTTACCTTTGATAAACTTGGCCGTCATCAACAACATCAACTCATCATTCTAATCAGGTGTTGAAAATTTCTTTCTTGTTTTTCTTTATTCATTCATTTAATCATATGATAATTATTGATCATGAACTTGTACTGAAAATATCTGGAACATCTGGCCAATTTGTTTCTTTTTTCTTTTTTTTTTTTTTTTTGATTAGAAATCTTTTCTCCTTCTTTTATCAATCATAAGGGTTAAAAGATTTATTTATTTATATTTTCTTCCCTAAGTGATGATGATTATGATGAACAACAACAACAACAAACTTAGGTTTGTAATTCATCATAATTAATTAACTTTTATCTTCTTTTTGATGAATCTAAAAAGATGTCTTCGGCTATCACTGAGCTCCTGAGGAATGAATGAATGCTATGGCCAGATCGAAACCAAAAACAAAAAGTACACGATGTTTGTTTGCTTGTTTGATTTTTACCTGTTTGTTTGCTTGTTTTGTTTTGCATCAAACATCAATAGATCATCATCATCATCATGGTTGAGGTTATTATATTACGTTACATCGCAAATGATAAGTAAATAAAAAAACAACTAAATATGATGATTACGTTTGTTGTTTTTTTGGTGGTTAATAATTGATTTTCCAAAAACCAAAAACATCAGCAACAAACGAAACTAAAATCCTAGATTTTCATTCAACCGATTTTCATTCCATTTTTATTATTGAATCGGTCGATAAATTTTAAAGATTAAATGATGATGAACCAGATGAACAGAAAATGCCAAAAGTTTTTGTTTGTTTGTTTTTTGGCTAAAAAACAATGCTGTAGGTTCTTAATTGTCTATGAAGAAAAAAAAATATTGTCTACCTGATGTTCTGGATAATTAAAATCATGAAAACCGGTGCGCACAGCAAAAACAACAAGAAAAAACGTGATTTGATTTAAAAACAAACAAAAACACCGAACAGAAACAGAAACAAAGACTATATAAATCAATATTTTTAGTAGTTTGATCCGGGCTTTTGAACACAAAAACCAAAAAAAAAAAAAAAATTATTTGACATATGATGATTTGAACAGGTGAACAACCAGCTCAGTCAATCAGCCAAGTCAGCCAAGAATTTTAAGCATCATTTCAACGAACGAACAAAAGTCAGTAAACGTTAAAGATGATTAAAAATTTTGATTGACAAGTGAAGTGATCGTTTCTTTACTGGCTTTTTGGATTCTATATTCGTATATGTTTGGCTGGTTCTTTCATTCATTCATGTTGTTGTTGTTATCGAATTGATATGTCAATCTTCTTTCTGGTCATAGAATCCAGAAAAACAGAACGAAATAGTGATGTTTACCCTCTTTTACCAAAAAAAAGGGGTGATTCCATATTTGTTTGTTTGTTTGTTGTTGTTGTTGACCCTTTTTTTTCTCAATCATCTTACTCTGCTTATGTATGATTGCCAGTTTCATTTCGTTTCAATTCAATTTTTTCTCTTCGTCGTCGACTGACATTTTCCAGAGAAAATGAAAATATCTTTTCGTTTTCGTTCTTTCGTTACCAAACCATTACCATATTATCTATCGAAATGAACGACTGACAACTAACTACTGACTGCACACTTTGATACTATACATTGATATGGATATGATGATGATGACGACCAAAGAAAGAATAATTTTTTTTTTTTGGTTGTTTGATGTTTGATGTTTGAAAATATTAAATGGTAAAAGAGAAAAGTCAAAAATTTTTTGGAGAAAATTGGAGAAAATGACAGACAGTCGGAGAGACATGAAGTGATGATGATGAATGATTCTATATTTTTTGTTTTTTCGTTTTTATATTCCACTCTGTTTTTTTGTTTTGGGTTCCTATTTATCCATCCACCCTATTCCATACGGGTTATAGTTTGTTTTTTTTCTATCACTGAAAAATATTTTTTTCTGTTTCGGATAAAACTTTCTTCCGTCCAAAAAAAGAAACAGAAAAACCGAACGAAAAAACCGAATAAACACCAAAAATTGAATAATGAAAAAACAAATATTAACCATAACGGTTTTTTTTGTTGAAGTTTATCCTTCGCTCTATATACACATGTAGTAGATTGGATTCATGTTTTCTTGTCTGCATATGAAAAATATCAATAAAATCGATGAAATGTCAAATGGATCAATAAAATTTTGTTTGTTTTTTTTGGTTTTTCCGAAAGATCAGTGAATGTCATCGATGATGATGATGATATGATTGGTGAAAAAAACCTTGGTTTTGTCAAAAACATTTTAGCACAGCTGTCGTTTGTTTTTGGTTCAACAATTTTCATTTTTCTATTCTTCCATCATATCCGGGCATCAGATTCGATTATATCAACTTTTTCTCAATGCTTTTTCGTCTGATGACATTAATTAATTCAAAATTTATAATTGATAAAACATTTACTTAGTTAGTTTACTAACTACATTCATTTTATCCCCCAAAAAATTCAGAAAAAAAAGATATTCTTTCATAATGTTTTTTTCTCTCATTTCTTCGCTTGCTAGCTAAGGATGCAAAATGTAAAACGACAAGAACTATACGAACAAACTTATAAATGAAAATATAACCCGAAATAAAAATGAAAATGAAGCAAGAAAATTTTCGTAGAAAATCAACAACCAACCAACAAAAAACAATGTGTCTTAAGCAGGCAAAAATAAAACAAAACAAAACAAACAAGCTCAACCGAACCGCAACATCATTTATCATCCATCGTCGTCGTAGTCGTCTTCGTCGTAGTCGTCGTTGTCTCTTCACATCTTTTCTATTCATTCAATTCATTCATTTGTTTATTTGTTTTTTCGTTTTGTCTTATTATTGTCTTTACATTATTCTTATTTCAGTTTTTCGTTTTGGTTTTAGTCACTCTGTATATTTTTTTCCATTTTTTTCACTCAGTTTATTGATGATAAAGAAACAAAAATGTATTTCTCTTCGTTTTCTTCGTTTCTCGTAAAAAACATTAGAATTTTGTTTTTCCTTCGTTTGGTTTTGGTGAAACGTCAATTAAGATTTTTTTCTTCTGAAAGAATTTTTTTCGTTGAAATTTTTAGTTAAATTTTTTCTTTTCATACTTTCTATAGTTTTAAATTCAGAAACATTGTCATGTCAATATTCAGATCTAATTTCTTTCGTTTTTCGTTTTTCATTTTCGTTTCATTTTGATATTCAACCTGTCAAAATTTCATAAAAGTAAGTTTCTTTCTTTTCTCTATTACCCGATAGGAAAACACAAAAATAATAATAATACCCGAACATCAGGATTCCAACCAAAAAAAAACTGATATTGCCTGATACAGTCAACCAACAAAACTATCGCCACCATCGTTGTCGTCGTCGTCAACATTGAAATGTCAAACACAAATGTGACAGTTTTTTTTATGATTGGACCAAAGAAGAAGAAAATATTCGGAAAACAAAATGAAAAACGAAAGAAATGAAAAGAAAATAAAGACGTTTGACATGTGAAAATATGAAATTTTCGTTTTGTTTTTCTTCAGTTCTTCGTTAAAGCAAAGACCTAGCTTCTTTGGATTGAGACTTAACCATCACCACTATAACCATTCGCACATACGAAAATACATATCGCGACAAACACACCTACATCCCAAATAGAAAAAGAAAATATGTATAGAGGAAAAGAATATGATTAATGATCTTTATTGTTGGTTTGACATGTATATTTCAGTTTTTTTCTTGTTCGTTTCAGTTCGTTCTTTTCAGTTTTTTGCTAGTTTTTCGTACCTTAAAATAAACTGTTAATAATGTCTCGGTCTCTGTGTGTGTGTGTGTTCAATAAGGTAAAAAAGTTTATGAGAAACACACTAGTTTGGAGTTTTTCTCCTTGTCGTTTCTGGCCATATCTTTTTTGGATTGTCGCTGGGTAAAGATAAACATCAAATGCTGCTGCTGCTGCTGCTTTGATCAATTTTTCTGGATGATTTCTGAAACGAATTTTTGATTCAAGTTTTTTGGAATAATTTTTTTTAATTCAAATTTTCAAAAGAAAAAAAAATTACAAAAGAAAAAGAAAATAAAAAAATCTCCCTAAATGTTAAGTCAATGTTAAGTTTGAGTATTTTCTACAAATTAGATCAAAAAAGAAGGAAAAAGTGACTATCAAAAAAATCAATGAATGGATGGTTACAATATGGATATGAGATTCTGGCTAAAATTTGTTTTTGTTTTGATTCAAAAAAAAAGTTGATGAGGATGATGATGATTTTCCACCAGAAATATATCTGTGATGAAGTAGAGCGAGAGAAAAAAAAATCAACTAATCGATAATGACTACTGTAAACAATCATCATCATCATCTTCATCATCGACATTATCAGCATTGGGAATTGGATTTTGATGAAGATTTTTACTACCCGTATTTGATTCAAATTCTTGTGTATGATTATTGTTGTTTGTTCCACCATTACTACCACTAATCATTGTTGCTAAATTGTTGTTGTTGATTGATCCACAAATATTATTGCCATTTGTTGTTGTTGTTGCTGATGGGGTTAACAAATGATGATGATTATTATTATTCAGGTGATTTAAATGATGCNCTTGTTGTTGTTGTTGATGATTTATTAATTCATTTGTCAATGTTGTTGTTGAATTACATTTAACTTTTATTTCTTTTTTAGCTTTCATACGACGATTTTGAAACCAAATTTTTATCTGTCTTTCAGTCAATCCTAATGAATGTGCAATTTCAATACGACGTCTACGTGTTAAATAACGATTAAAATGAAATTCTTTTTCCAATTCCAATGTTTGATAACGGGTATATGTTTGTCGTGTTCGTTTTGGTCCATGACCAGAATCTATTTTGAAGAAAAAACGAAAAACAAATACAGAAAAAAATGACAAGATAAGAAAATATGGATACAAACAAACAAACAAAGTGAAGAATGTTTTGACAAGCAAAGCAAGCAAGCAAAAATATTTTGTAAAAAGCGAAAAAGAATGTTCTATGTATAAAAGTAAAGTTTTTCAAATATATATAGTTCATCAAAAAAAAAGCAAACGAGATGATAATGATAATGTCACATGTCAAAAAGTATAGTTGTCTTTTTGATGATGATGATGACAGTTTTTGTTTTTAATTTTCCATTGATGACAGGTGATGATGGTTGATAATCTTGATTATTAACAAAGCAAAAAAAAAAAATGTTCCTGATGGATTTTTTGATTTCCCCAACTTGTGTTTTCCATTCAGGTTGCGTGTTTGTTTGTTTTTAAAAAGAAACTGGGGAAAAAAACAAAGAATGATGATGATGATGTTCGAGATTTACCTATATTAAATGTAATGTAACTTGTTGTTAATGAATGTTTGAATTTGAAATACGAAACAAAAATTCGTCAACATCTAGCTTATCATCTTATTTGCTCTGGGTTTTTATTATTATTTCCAGGTAAGATATTTGTCTTTTTTGATTTTGAAAAATGATTGCAGATTTTTTTTTGTTTTCAACACCTTTTTTTTGCTGGTCCGGGAAACAAACAAACAAGCAAACCATTATAACGTGTATAACGTATTCAAATCAAACCAGAAAGATTTCTCATCATACACATCATCATTTGCCACATCCATTGAGTTAATTTCATCAAAAAATTATTATAAAATTCATAAATCAAAGTAGGTGGTCAAATTTACGCAAAACAACAGAAAACAAACGGCAATTATCAATGTGTCAGACCAATCTTGTTTTTTGTTGTTGTTGCTTTCTTTTTCGAATAGAAATTCACATCTCACTGATCACTAATGAAACATGTTTAAATAGGAATGTAATTATCATTTCAACAACAACAACAAAAAAGGATCTAAATTTTTTGTTTCAAAAAACTTATGTCACTTTTTTTGATGATGAAAAATGTTTCAAACAAATTTTTTTCCAATGAATATAAAATAAGGGTTGTCTGTGTGTGTTTATGTGTTTATGTGTGTGTGTGTTTACATCGACCAAAACACACAGAAGAAACACAGGTAGATTTACCTGTAGAATACCTGCTTGAATATTTATAATGATGATTATGATGATTATAAACACATGACAAGCATGGATATACTACCGATTTAGCCAATTAAGTTACCTTTACTTTTGCTATATATATTTTTGACGAAGAAATGAAAAAAAAGGAGAAAAAAAAATGAAAACATTCTTTGAAAAGATGATTATGATAAAGTGGCTTGTTCGTTTTATTTTCATTGAAATTCTGAATTATGAATAATAATGATTTTCTGAATTACCACCATTGAATAGATGATGATAATGATAATGAATACTGAGAATGTCATCCTATTATGTCGGGGCATGAAAGAAAAAAGATTGGTTGGTTTTTTTTTGGAAAAGATGTTTGAAATTCTTGTTTGAAATGAAATACATTTCCCATTGAAATGAAGATGAAGATGATGACAACAACAGCAGCAGCTTCAGGATTCAACGATATTGATCTTGATGGTTAACAAATTTTTTTTTCGTTACAAAATTGAAAAAAAATAATAATCTAGATTTGTTAATCTATCTGTAGATTGGAAGAAGAAAAAAAATAAGTGAAAATTTTTCATTTTTCACAAATGATTGATTGATTAACACACACTCGCCACTGTGGTAATCAGTTTTTTTTTCTTTGATTCACTTTGGATTCACTTCTTTGGATTCATAATCGAATAATTCATTTTTTTCAATTTACTTTCAAGTCATTCGTCATTTTCATTCATGTCTTTGAACTTATTAATTTTGTTTTTCAATTTATTAATTAAATTTTGCTTTTCATTTTTCAAAAAATGAAAAAAACCTTTTTTTTCTGCAAAATTACAATCAAAATTCGGTGTTTTTTTCCAATTTCGTCATAAATTAAATCCATTAATGATCCTTGTTGCCACTTGTTGTTTAACATTTGAAAAAAAAACTTTCCAATAAATCTTTTTCCCTAATTCACTGAATGAATGAATGTATGAATCAATGTGGAAAATGTAATTGAAAAAAAAAGATTCGGTAATTTAACTTTCAAGTGGCAATAATAATCATCATTCTGTGGTTATAGTCGTCGACAATAACAATAAAAAAACTTTGACGATGATGATATTTTATTGCTGTTATTCAAAAAAACATTTGTCAAAAAGGCACGAGCAAATACGAATACGGGATTGAAGATATTTATTACACAAACAAACACAGTTAGTTAGTTTGAATTTTGTTTTTATTGAGCTATAAAAACTACATTGTTTATCATCGCTGTTGCGGGTTATGTAATGTAATCTTTTTTTTAAAATGTAAATAAAAGTGAATGAATGAATGGAGGAGGAGGAGGAAATAATCATTTCATGAATGATGATAATAATAATTCAAGTAGGAATCAAAGCCAAACCAAACCGAAATTAACCACTTGAATCAGTGTATCATCATCATCATCATTATATAATCATATTGATGGAAATAAAGCGGTTAAAATACTGTAATGTTATATGTATGTGTGTTTTGCTTTGTTTTCTTTGTAAAATTTCTGTTAAAATTTATTACCATTTTCTTTTTGTGTAACTTTTTACAAGAAAAAACCGGCTATTACGTAACGCTTTTATCCATTCTTTTCATTTTGTTTTGTTTTGTTTTGTTTGTTTGTACGGATTTTTTTATTATTATTCTTGCCAAACAAATTTTTATTAGGTGTTCATTGTCAACACAATGAATGGAAAGAAAAGAAACGAATGTAAAGATGATAATGCATCATTTTTATCGTTTTCTTATGATACCAAATTGATACACTTATCATCATCATATAGACTTGCACTTAACTTTATTTTCTTCGCTACTACCACTACTACTACTTTGATTATGATGATGATGTAACCAGTGTTTTTTGGTTGAAGAAAAAGTGGTCATTGAGAAAACGGAAAGAAAATATAGACTAAGGGTAATTTATGACTTTTTTTCTTCTTTGGTAAAGATCAAGAACAAGAAAGGAAAGGAAAGAAAGAAAGCAACAAATGAAATGCAATTTTTGAAATGAAAAAACATGTTGATTCTTTCTTTGTTGTTGTTTTTGTTAATTAGTTAATTAAACATATGTAAATTAATTAAACAAAATTTAATTAAGTTAAATTAAATGGTACGTGTTTAACACGTTTGCTACTGATGGAGGTAAAACAAAACAAAACAAAAAGTTACCTTGATAAGATTTCATCCATGGAAAAAATGATGATGATGATGTTGATGTTGTTGAATTTGATGTTGGTGATTTTTGTTGTTGTTGTTGTTGTTGATGATATTGTTGTTGTTGTTGTTGTTGATTAAGATGATGTGAATAAAGATTATGCGAATGATGATGTAAATTTGTATTCATTGATGATGTTGTTGATGATGATGATGATGATGTTGATGATGATAATGGTGGTGGTGGTGTATGATTGCTACCATTATCAATAGGTGTTAATGANTGTTGATGTTTGGTTGATGATAAATCAATAGAATTATCTTCTTCTTCCAAATCTCCATCATCCGCATCATTTTTATAATTTTTGATTGATATTTGATAACCCCTACCACCACCACCAGTGGGTGTTTTCGATGTTATTAATGTTTCCGATTGTAATTTTGTTGTTGTTGATTCTATATTGCAATTTGGATCAGTTTCAATAATTTTTGAACGAAATAAACGTTGCTGTTGATCAATGTTAATTCCTATATCGTTTGCAGTTGCAGATGATGATGATGAATTGATCAAATCAATTGGACGATTATTATTATTTGGCGATCCAATATCATCCATAATCGATATTGTTTGTGGAATTAATTCATATGATGATGGTGGTGGTGGTAATGGTGGGGGTAGGGGTGGTGCAATCATGTCTAAATGATTGCTATAGTGATTCGATGATGGTGGTGGATATGGACAACTAGTTGGAGGTAGATTATGATGATGCGGATTATGTAAAGCTTGATGATGATGATGATGATGATTACCGAATACAAATTCATTATAAAATGGATGTTGATATGATGATGGTGGTGTTTGTTGTTGTTGTTGCGATTGTAATAATCCTACCGGTTGTTGTTGTTGTTGTTGATAACGATGATGATTATTCGGAATTGTGGAAGTATATCTTGCATTCATGATTGTTGATGGTGATGGCGATGATCCATGATAACCATTTTGATAACCTTTATTATCATTATAATATGCTGCGGCAACAGCAGCAGCAGCGGCTGAGGTAAATTGATTAGGTTGTTGTTGTTGTTGAATGATATTACCTTGATTATATTGTGTTGATGATGGTGGTGGTGATGATGATGATGATGATCGACTAGAATGATTTAAATTATTAAAACGTTGTTGCAATGAACTTTGAGGATTTGATGCGGTTAACGCTGTTACTGCTGCTGATGCAACTGCTGCTGTAGCTTCAGCAGCCGCAACAGTAGTAATCGAAGTGGCTGTATACATTGCTGATGGTAATGTTGTTGTTGTCATGGTTGACAATGATGGATTTGGATCGGTTATAGTTGTCGATGATGATATTATTGATGATGGTGGTGGCGCTGATGGCCATTCAGCCGTTGATGAATAATTAAAATAAGAATTCATATTTTTTTTTTGTTCGTAAAAAAAGAACAGATTATATGAATTTGATGATATTTATCAAAAAAATTTTCGACTGAATACTGAATGATCATAAAAGATCGAAGATTCAACAACAACTGAAAAATCAAAGATTTTCAATTCTTTTCGTTGTTTGATCACTAATAATGATTTGGGTGATAATGTCTAATGGTTTGGATGGGTGATAATGATGTGTGACTAGGTGCCAAAGAGCCAAATAACCAACCTAAAAAAACTTGATCTAATGATGATGATGATGGTGGTGGTCAGTTGGAAGGTCAGTTTATTAATGAATCATGATGATGATGATAATAACAATGATGATGACGACAACAACAACGACATTTTGGATTCACTGAGAAAACAATGTGACCAACAACAAAAAAAAACAACACGTGACCGACCGCCTATTTTTTCATTTCATTTTTTTTGGGTTCCTTTTTTTTCTATGTTATTATTGATTGTCAGGATGATGACCATAATTTCGGTTCAAAATGAAATGAAATGAATGAATGAAAATTGACTAGAATTGACTATATGCCATTTGGTTATTTTTCCTGATATAAATAATATTCACCAACTTTAGGTATACACACAAACAAACTATTGGTCAGCTAGTCTGTCATTCAGTCAGGTTAGTCAAAGAAAAAAANAAAAAAAACAACACGTGACCGACCGCCTATTTTTTCATTTCATTTTTTTTGGGTTCCTTTTTTTTTCTATGTTATTATTGATTGTCAGGATGATGACCATAATTTCGGTTCAAAATGAAATGAAATGAATGAATGAAAATTGACTAGAATTGACTATATGCCATTTGGTTGCTTTATTTTTCCTGATATTAATAATATTCACCAATTTTAGGTATATACAAGCACACAAACACAAACAAACTATTGGTCAGCTAGTCTGTCATTCAGTCAGGTTAGTCAAAGAAAAAAAAATCAGAAAAAATCAAACCACGACAACGATGATTTTTTTCAGATAGGTTTTAATAATAATAATAATAATTTTTGGCTAAGGCCTAGGATGATGATGATGATGGTCAAAATGATGAATAGCATACATACACAATATGGTGATGGTCACTGAATATATAGTACATTTGTTGTTTGCTGATTTGCTGGGGCCAGGTTTTTTTTTCAATTTTTTTCATTATTTGACAGCTTCTGGTTTCAATTTTTTTTTCTTTCCTCCTTCGTTTTGGTTTTGGGTTTTTTCTGTCCAATAATGATGATGAAAGCACAATGAACAGCAAACGAATCGAATCAGTTTTGAAATTTGAAAAGTTCAATAGGTGTTCAATAGCAAATAGATCAGATCAATTTGTTGTTGTTGTTGTTGTATGGTTGTTGGACATTTGATTCCAAAGTTTTGCCTCCATTTGCGAAAACATAACACAGCAACAGCAACCCTTTGGCCACCTGCCACTTTTTTTTCTGTTGTTATTGTTGTTGTTCCTGCTGTTGCTTGTTTTAACCAATTGCAACTATTAAATAGTCAGATGGTTGAAAAGTATTGATTTGATTTGATGATGAACGGATGATGCAGAATAGGAAACATTTGGTTAATTTTCTACGAAATAGAAAACCACCACTATTGTTGTTGTCGATTGTCGTTGCAAAACGGTATTTTACAAAACGCACACACACTGTATTTTTGATTTTTGAACAGGAAATGTTTGGGTTTCCGCTTTCTTTCACAATGATGTTGGGAACAATTCAAAAGAAGAAGATTTACCTGGATGAAAATCAAATGAAAAAAACAAAATTTTTTTACAATTCTTTCAGATGTTTCAGATCTGTCTCTCTTATTTCTTCTTCATCTTCTTCATTTCACAATGACAACAACAAGATTGTCTTTCGCATAACTTTTTTCTTTGTCTTTCTTTCTCTCTCTCTCTCTCTCTCTCTCTCTCTCTCTCTCTCTCTCTCT